GTTTGATCTGTGAGTTAGCCGTGCCCTGACTTAGATCAGCACAGAGGTTGTTTCTGGGTTTGATCTGTGAGTTAGCCATGCCCTGACTTAGATCAGCACAGAGGTTGTTTCGGGGTTTGATCTGTGAGTTAATGAACCTTTAAATGAGAACACTCTCTAAAAGGAGCATACCTGAATTCTTCGGACAGAGATCCTACTCTCGCTCAACTTTTTAATTCCGTAAGGGAAGTGTTCCCCCATGGTAATTATCAACCTGTTAAGCAAAGCAAGGGAGCTGAAGACTGTGGCAGCGGTGAGTGTGTTGCCAAGGAGAGCATACGTGGTAAACATCAGGAAACTTAGCAGGGTGTGGGATGCAAACTCGAAGCCTCGATCGGCTGCCTTGATGAACGAAGACTTCATTATCGCAGAAACTTCTTTGCTATTGAAAATAATTATTAAAAAAAAAAAAAAACCGATTACATAGCGCCCGCTGTCTCAAGTGTTACAGTCACTACATAAAGTCGATGATGGTGATGTGGTGGTGGTGGTGTTGATAATTGATGCGCAGACGGTGATGATGGTAAATGGTAGTGATACGCGATAATGGTGATGGTGATGATGGTGGTGATGATGATAGTGATGGTGATAGTGATGGTGATGATGATAAATGGTAGTGATACGCGATGATGGTGATGGTGGTGATGATGATAGTGATGGTGATAAATGATAGTGATGATGATAGTGATGATGATGATGATAAATGGTAGTTATGATGATGATGGTGACGATGGCAATGATGATGGTGATGTTAATAATGACAGTGATGATGATGATGATGCTGGTGATGATGTTGATAAATGATTTGGAGGTGGTGATGATGATAATTGGCTGTGATGATGATAAATGGTTGTGATGATGGTGATGATGATGATGTTTGTGCTGATGTTGCTGCTGCTGATGATAAGAGTCGATGTAAGGGATGGTGATGATAGTTATTATCATAGTAATGATTGATAATGCTGATAATGGTGATTGTGATAATACCAAATGGTAGTGACGATAATGATAATGTTGGTGCTGATGGTGTCGATGATAATGATGATGTTGGTGATGTATTGGCTGTGACCTTTATGATGACATGATGATGCTGATGGTGATTATAAAAATAGTCAATGTTAGAATGATTGTGATGGTGATAGTTATGATTGATGATGAGGATGATGGTGATGATGGTTATGATGATAGTGATGATGATTGATGACGTTCATCATGATGATGAAGATTATTGTGGTGACGGTGTTGATGACATTTATGTTGATTATTGATGATGACGATGATGGTGATGATGGATGAAGATATGATATCAAGAATTTCTGACACCCCTCCAGCAACCCCAAAATTCATCACTCACACCGTCCAAAATTTGATTGCCAGATATCACTATTAGTGGTGAATGTAATTAATTCCTTCGTACTTTTCTATCCCTACCTTCGTATTCTTCGTACAAGTAGTGAATAAGGTATCTCCCAGACGTACATTTTAATCACTCTGATGCCAGTAATGATTTCATTCATCAGCCGACATCGTTCGTCTGACAGAACAGCAGTCTTGTTTCTAAAAAGATGGGGAATTTTCATTTTCAAAGCACTAAGTGGAAAATTTCTGATGCTGTTGCTGCGGTTATCACTTGTGTTGTTGCTGCTGCTGATATTGTTTTTGCTATTGTTTCTGTTGTTACTGTTGCAGTACTAGTGATTGTTGTCGTTGGGTTATTGTCCTTGCTATTGCCCTAGTAGTTAGTGTTGCTGCTGTTGTTGCTTTTGTTTCTATTCAGAGTTACTGTTACGTTGTTATCATTGTTGTTGTTGATGCTATTATCCTTCTTACTAATTCTACTTTTGCTGCTGTTGTCTATGTAATCCAATTACATTTCTCCTCCTGCAAATTCCAATTTCCAACAACCCTTCTTACGAACCTCTAGCCCTCTCACATTTAATGACCAAAGATATCATATTCACATAGAAAACATGAAATTCTACTTACTCTACCTTAAATCGAGTGCTTAAATATATAGGAGTGCCCAGGCTTGACTCAGTTACTACATACGCTGCGTTTAGAGCTAGAGAAAGCTCCACGGTTCGATCTGTTTTGATTTCCCTATCTTCTGTGTAACTTAAGCTTTAAATACCCGTAATAAGGAGGACGTATACTCTGAGGGGGTAAAGGGCGTACAGGAACCCCTGGCTTGCGAGAATTGAGCAACGACTCCCCGCGTCATTAAATTAAAGTAAAATAATATACCTTCACTTTTAATATCCTACTGCATATATTACCTTAGTACGCCAAAGATGTGACCAAGCCAAGCTTGATAAGGGATCAATAATAGACTTATGGATATCCCAACAAAACAAGACAGCCCTATCAGCCTCCACAATAGATAAGTAGTAATAACCAGTAGAAGTGGACCAATCAATACATAGTGAGCCATGATGAAGCACTAATAAAAGAAACCAGGTTATGTACTGAATTATTTAAGTCTTAGGCAAGTAATCTTTGGTTTGGTAAAGAGCTCTCTGCTATTTGTGAGAGTTCCGTAGTTTGATCCTCAGTGACCGCACACACTTGTTTTAAGGAGCAAGTGTGGCTTGGTTGGTTAGTGTGCTGCCTGCTCAGCAAGAGGTCCATAGTTTGATCCTCAGTGACCGCACACACTTGTTTAAAAGAGCAAGTATGGCTTGGTTGGTTAGTGTGCTGCCTGCTAAGCAAGAGGTCCATAGTTTGATCCTAAGTGACCGCACACACTTGTTTTAAGGAGCAAGTGTGGCTTGGTTGGTTAGTGTGCTGCCAGTGTTAAGCAAGAGGTCAATAGTTTGACCCTCAATGACCTTACACACTTGTTTTAAGGAGCAAGTGTGGCTTGGTTGGTTAGTGTGCTGCCAGTGTTAAGCAAGGGGTCCATAGTTTGATCTACCTCAGTGTTAAGATCTCTACTGGTTTGATCATTTGTGTTGATGCTAATATTAAAAAATGGCACTAATGCTTTTTTTTTTTTAAAAGAGGGAAAAATATTAAATATGATGATATTTTTACCTCATCAAATTTCTGTGCGTCTGTTGATATCAAGTTCATTATGAAACCAGTATTTACTGTGTCAGGTACTGCAGGACTCAGACTTAATACCTGGAATAGGATCAATTTAAAATTTAACGAACTGCCTTGTAATATCAACCTTGTTTTTCTTGTATCAAAGCATGTGCTACATAGAGCATCATTTGCCAAACATGCCCCACTCACACAATACTGAACCATTATTAAGGGGAGCTATATTATTGTTACTGTATGTTGCATGTTGCATGTGCTGTGTACTGTACGTGCTGTAAGTCAGTACCATACGTCTCTCACTCAAAGGATAACCATTCTTATGGGAAGCCATTTCAATGCTACAAAATACCGTACCGTGAAGTACTACGTGCTGTAAGTCGTTTTCCACTTATAAGATATAAACATTCTTGTGGGGAGCCATTTCAATGTTAGGGCAAGTCGTACCGTGTACGTGCTGTGAGTCAGTACTGTACGTTTCCCACTCATACAATAACCATTCTCATGGAAAGCCATTTCAATGTTACGGCAAGTCGTACCATGTACGTGCTGAGAGTCAGTACTGTACGTTTCCTCAATCATAGGATAACCATTCTTGTGGGAAGCCATTTCAATGCTACAACATACCGTACGGTGTACGTGCTGTAAGTCGCTTTCCACTTAAAAGATGTAAACATTATCCTTGTGGGAAGCCATTTCAATGCTACAGCAAATCAAGTAAGTGCTGTAAGTCAATATCAAATGTTTCCCACTCATACGATAACCATTCTTATGGGAAGCTATTTCGTACCATGTATGTGCTGTAAGTCACTATTGTACGCTTCCCACTCATACGATAACAATTCTTATGGGAAGCCATTTCATTGTTACGGCAAGTCGTGCATTTGTCACATTCTTATGGGAAGCCATTTTCAACACTTTTGAAAGACAATAATTCTGATTCTTTTTGTCCTATCAAATTTAACTCTTTCCAGACTTTTTAAACTTGAGATGCTTTCTCAAATGACAAAAATAAAAAAAATAAAAAAAATGGTGGAGTGCAAATAAATAGCCCGTGAAATAGATAGCTAGCTAACTAATTACTAGCCTTTGGTTGCCTAAGTTATAATTAGTTAAAATAGGCAAGCCGTGACGGGTAAACTAGTGCACGTGTGCTACTCAAGGGCACGATTTTTTAATATTTTTAAACACGCTTACAAAAACTGAAGCATGCTTTTCCTTCGTATAATTTGACATGTTCGCATTTTCATATCTATTCATTTGCGTATTGAATTGTTATTCTAGTAAACGCCCGTGCCCTTGTCATGCCTCACTGAATTCCTATGTCTTGTCTAATTAAGCGCTAACTATCTCCTATTTCATCCTAACTATTTCACGGGTATATCATTTGCACTGATAATAAGATTAAAATTGAAAACTGGCTCTAGTTTCTTGCTCCTCTCTAAAGTCGCTAATTCTAACATTCCATCCATTCACTTGCCTTTTTGTAAATCAATCCTATTACAGCAACTCTCAACTGCATACCCAGCCGCCTTGCAGTAAAATAATAGATCTGATGTAACAAGATAGATGTCAGTGTCATCAGCACCAAGCCTAATGCATACAGGTATGCACTGACTTTGGAGATGTTGGAGTTTGGATTAAAATAGGATACCAGGAATAGAAGAAAATATGCTAGAGCCATTTGGCAGGATTCCTGGAAAGATAGAAAGTATGAATATCAGCAAAAGCAAAATATGGGAGGAAAGAGGGAATGAATGAATGGGAGAGGGAGAGGGAGAGGGAGAGGGAGAGGAAGAGGGAGAGGGAGAGGGA